TATTTATAATGCCACAAGTGGAGAAAGCATTCAAAACATATCATCCAAGTTCTGCCCGGTGCGTCCGAATGCGTGTTTCTCCCATTCGGACGCGTTTGATAGCATACCCCTAATTTGAAGCTCGATTTTGACCTATTTACAAGTTGATTCAGGAAATTGTTATGAAATACACTTTTTGTAGCCCTTGATGTATAGTTTCTACTATCCAAAAATCAGCTCAATCAAAGTTAAGATTAAAAAGTTATTACTAAAATACTAAGAGTGTCAAATTTTTTCCTACCCAAATCCTCTCAAAAATAGGTTTTTAACTTCGGAATACGTCTAAACTTCTAATACACCTCATATAACCTCTTCTAATGTTTTTCAACATTATGAATTCTTTGGCCACCTTATTTTAACCTAAAAATATTTACAAAATTACTTAACCACCATTCTCAAACTTAAAAACCTTTAAAACTAACTTTGACCCGAAAGTCAATTCGCTCAAAACTCAAACTTCATGATAAATATTTCAATAACAATTTGAGATTTCTAAAATCTTTTATTCAACCTAGGAAAAATATTAAGATGATATTATTCTTATCTAATTATAATACGGGGTCTTACAAATATAGCCTTGATTGAGGCCTTTTATAAACTCCCACATTCCTATTATCAAATATAGCAAAGTAATTATGTTTTTGAAATGCTAATATACATAATGGAGTATGCATGAACTAAGTAGNAGGGTATATACCGTCTTTCATGGAATTGATGAATCATTCCAAGGAAAGGTATCTTCAGCCTCGAACTTACATGAACAATAATAGTTGCTCTCGCAAACAACAATCCACTACAAGTGTTAAGTGGCTTGNTAATAGTGTAGAATCGGGTAAATATTTAGTGCAAACTTAGTTTTGACTTATAAATATATGAAACCGTTTGCAATGGAACTTATAACAACTATGTTTGATGTACAAATGTATGTTGTATAAGTTTGGGTTGATTTTGGAAGGGGTTGGAATGAGTTTGAAATAAAAAATAGAGAAAATAAGCAAATCTGGATAGAAACTACTAGTAGGACCTACCGGTAGTATGCTGTCCAATGGATCCGAACTACCGGTAGTTCAACAAGTAGTAAGTTGCCAGTGGATCCGAACTACCGGTAGCTTGATACGAACCACCAGTAGATCGTTAAAAACTCGGTATTTTTATGTTTTAAAACCCCATTTTCACTCCATTTGCTCCCATTCTTTCACCCCACTCTCACCCCAAACCTCTTATAGCCCTAATAAAAAGACTTAGAGAGGAAGAGAGAAAGGGAAAACAAGATTTTTAAGGGTGATTCAAGATAAAATCTTCTTGTCCTTCACACCAAAGCCAAAGAAGAAGGTAGGGGTTTTTCTTCCATTCTTGTTCATTGAGATTAGGGCTTGTATATATATATTCTTTGACTCTAAATCTTATACATATGTTATGAAATCATCATTCCTTGGTCTTCTTGCAATTATTACAATGTTTTAAACAAAGTTAGGGTTGAATACCCATGAAATCTCTTTTTCTTGATTGAAAACCCTAGTTTTTGAGAGAAATGAATTTCTCTCTTGATTTTTCTTTTATTCTTGATTTCGAAACTCTAGTGCTTTGTGTTGAGTAATAAAATGGTGTTTATAATGATCTCTTACTTAATTTCTTAAATTGTTCTATTGGAAAAATGCCGATAAAATTTGGAGATTTATGATTTGACAATTTGGTTGGAATTGCATCTTTGGTATGGTTGTTGTGATGAACTTGAATTGCATTCAAGCACTGTTGTAGAGTGTTAGAGGTCAGTCTATCCCAGTAGGGGGTGAGATGGTTGCCTAACACTTGTAGTGGTTTGTTGTTTGTGAGAGCAACCATTATTGTTTCCGTAAGTTCGAACTTAGGGATGGTATATCTTTCCTGGGAAGGATTCGTCAATGCCGTGGGAGATTGTATACGTCATTCCTAAAGTGGTTTGTGTGGTTATGATTGGGTGAACGAGGTAAAGTCGTTGTGTAGATTCATAGTAAGCAACCAACATACTTGAGAATATGTAATGACACTATTGAACGAATATGGTTAATGTGTGGAATTGATTTCCTATAAGAGCTTGTGGAGGTATGTGACTCTACCAGAATTTGTGGGAAATGGTTTATGATTGTAAATGATTTGTTAATGTCAGAAACGATTTCCTACAAGAGCTTGTGGAGGTATGAGACTCTATAAGGACATGTGGAAAATGTTTGATTGTTGAAAAATTCATTTTTACTGTTTATTTAAATTATTGCTATTGCGTAAACTTGAGATCCATTGAAATGTCCCGATTTTATTTCAAAAATTGATATATGATATTTGTAAAATGAGGCCGACTTGTTTTATACGTTTTTCTAAACCTTATTCGAGTTTGGGAGGAATATTGCTACAGAGCTTAGTGTTCATCCCCTACAAATAATATATTTACAGATTACGTGTTAGATGAGGAGCTCAGAGTCGATGAACAGGTGCATCGGGAAGCTCCGCTAGACTGGCACGTGGAACCCGAGGTGGATGCCTAGGGTTATACTTTCCTAGGTGCTAGACTAGGAAATTTCTTTTGAGATTATGTAAAGATTAATCTTTTTTTATATTCCGTTGCAAGTTTAAAGGTGATTCTTTTGGGATATAATAACTATGTTTTGGTATATTCTTTTGGGAATGATGTTGTAAATATTGGATATGATGAATGAATTTTTATTTATTGATGGATTACATCAGTTGTTCTCATAATATGAATAGTTTTAAATTGTAATGTCGTCCAAGGTAATTTTTGGGGTAGTACAAATTNAGCTATGTTTTGGTATATTCTTTTGGGAATGATGTTGTAAATATTGGATATGATGAATGAATTTTTATTTATTGATGGATTATATTAGTTGTTCTCATAAAATGAATAGTTTTAAATTGTAATGTCGTCCAAGGTAATTTTTGGGGTAGTACAAATTTTGGTATTAGAGCGGGGTGTTACACCTTTGGCTCTAAGTCAAATTTGAGGCTCTCTTGCCCCCCGAGTGGAGTCAACTCTTTCTGCAGGCTAGGGATGCCATGCCTGCTTTCTTCCGCAACTTCGTGCATTGAGGGCACTTCAGATGAGTCAATTTTGGCTTTACCTCGAATAATCTTCATGCTGTCTCTCTAATAGTTTCATCAAGTGTGCTAAAAAATATGTTTGACATATTTTCGGATTGTGGGCGTGCCAAAGTATAGGTGTACTTAAAATCAAATATGTACGACCTTACCTACTCAAGATGATGTGGGGTTCTAAAATCGTGACTGTTCAGACGAATATGGCGAGACGTAAGGCTACCTTTGGATTTTTTTTCTATGCCTTAGAACTTCAAAGACTTCAAATAATTTTACCAAATAGAAATGTATAAACGATACTGTAAAGTAAAAAGTGGGAATGCAAAGTAACATGTACAATAAATTTGAATTTGGAAGACAAAACGAATATTAGACTTAGCATTAAATGAAAGTAGTAAAAGATCAACGAAGTGATATTTTACAGAACAAGTAAAGTTGCTCGGAAGCAAGAAATAAGTAAAAAGGATAAGTTGGCTCTATGAAGAGTATATGTGATTGATCGTGAATTCATTCTCACTAGCTTGGCCTAGGTTATTTATGGAGATGACTCTCAATCGTCGATCTATCTTTTCTGGCCATTATTTATGATCATGACCTTATCTCTTGAGATACGTGAATGTGTGTTGAACTGTTTCTAATTAGTGACTCATGATCTCACGTTTTCTCATTTCTCGAGATATCTCATAAGATAAAATAAATAATTTCTAAATAAACATACTTTAATATTTTTGATGATGTACAAAATTGACTAGGCACAATCAAATCAGTCGAGTGTGTGGTGTAAAATAATTAATGAATCAATTAATAATAAGAGATAAAGATTGAATAGTTGAATTTGGATAACCACTAAATGTGACAACGGTAGTCAAAAAACTCTATTAATAAGAGAGTACAAGATAACAGGAGGGNCAGTCGAGTGTGTGGTGTAAAATAATTAATGAAGCAATTAATAATAAGAGATAAAGATTGAATAGTTGAATTTGGATAACCACTAAAGGTGACAACGGTAGTCAAAAAACTCTATTAATAAGAGAGTACAAGATAACAGGAGGGAGAGCATGAATATGCTCAATGTGTAGTATGTAAGATTTGCCTCTATGTGAATGGAGTTTACAATTTATAAGCGTAGAGCTCTAGCTGAGGTGGTGACGTAAGGATCAAGATACTAGTTTATCAGGAGACTAGCTACGATCAACAATGAACACTATCCTGAAATAATAATTATTTCAATAATTGCTCTCGCATGTGTGTTGATTTTTTTTGGAATCTTAAATTTTGAATTACACCGAAGTCATGAACTAAGCTTAACTTACTTTTTGATGATTTTATTTCAACCTATGAACTGGACTCCTCAATATTAATAGCGTCTCAAATAATACTTTTGCTCAAGATCAGATAATTCAGTAAAANTGGAATCTTAAATTTTGAATTACACCGAAGTCATGAACTAAGCTTAACTTACTTTTTGATGATTTTATTTCAATCTATGAACTGGACTCCTCAATATTAATAATAATTTTAATATTATTTGTATTTGATTAAATATTAATAGCGTCTCAAATAATACTTTTGCTCAAGATCAGATAATTCAGTAAAAGCAGAAAATGTTATAATATTAGTTAGTCAAAACAAAAAAAACAAAAATATAAGAAATAAATATTAAATTAAAATTATTTACGTATATGTACCAAGTATATCAATTAAAATCACGAAAAGTATTTTTATTAGAATATAAAAATTTGACATAATTTATTAATATAATAATATAATTTCATTATCACTTTTAACTGCCACTTCTTCAAATATTAAAATTTCACATTAATTTAATGATTTCAACAAAGTACCTCATTTCGACGGCAATCATTTGGACAAGCATCGTAAACAGAAAAATTATTGGAAAAATAGTTTCAGAAGAAAGAGAGACCCCATAGCCAACGAACTAAGACCCCATAGAGAGAGAATGGTATTCAACGGTGTGCTAGTGGTCTCGGTGGCTAACATATCAGCGGATATGTGGCAATATATAGCTTGTATTCATGAGCGTATAAGCAGCGAGCAGTTGTTGGATCTGGCTATATGTTTCCCGCTGCAACAGTTGGGTCGATTGGCTCTCTGTCTTTGGACTTTCCTGTGCGTCCTCCCTTCTTCTTCAACTGCCGATTCGTATTATTCTTCCGATTCCGATGACTCCGATTCGTCTTCTAGCAGTCCCCATTACAACCACCACCACGACCGTGATTACTACGATTCGCATTCCGATTGATTCACCCACCGATCGTTATCAAATCATCAAGTACAGTAATTCTCCCATTTCTTGTTCTCATACTACAGTGTTTGTTTGTTAATGTTGACTTTTGTATTCTTTTACTGAATCTATAGTCTATTAGTAACGAAGGATTGAATTTGTTTATACTGAGCTTGGTTAGTGAGCATTGTGTATATATTGGTGTATTGATGTCATAGCTATGTGAGTATTGTTTCTAAAAATGGTATACCCAGTCCACGAGACTCCACTATTATGGAGGATTTCATATACGCTGTCTTACCCTGCAAGCAGAGTGTGGGTATTATTTCTATAGTTGTTAAAAAATGGGATTGATTAAGTTATTAAGTTTTATTTGGTTATTTGTCTTTTTGGTTTTATGAATGTTTTGTTGAAAGTTGTTTGATTGTGTTCTATTTGAGGATTTACTATTGGTTAATTGCAAAGGGGACTCAGATGTTTGTTGGGGAATTTGGCTGGGCTGGGGAAATGAAGAAATCACACACACACGTGTTGGATGTAGTTTCTGTAATTGAATGTCATATTATTTCAACTGAGCTTGATTAGCGATTAATGTAAATATATATTCATGTATAGATGTCATGGATTTGTGACCAGTGTTGAAATAGGTGTTAGGATTATAGGATTGACCAAGTTAGTGAGTTTTATTTGGTTATGTATCTTCTTGCTTCTGTGGATGTTTTCTTGGACGTTATTTGATCGTGTTCTATCTGAGGATTTGCAATTAAATAATTGCAAAGAGGACTTAAACATTATTGGGAGTTTTGGACTGGGGAAATGAAGAAATCTTATGTAAATGAAGTTCATATTATTATCTGAGAATCATTTTTGGTATTTAGGAAATGGAAACATTGATAATTCTTTATTGTAATTTAAGTATTTGATTTTTAACTCCAGTTTTTTGTTATTGACTATATTTATTTTGTTAAGTAGCATTCCAATAGTGCAATCAGCTTTTTCAACAGTGTCATTTTAAAGGGGTTTATTTATTCTCATGCTTAAATTTTTAGTGATTCTGGAAATAACAGCATTGAAATTTTTTTGTTATGTAATTTTTACTTAAGTGATGCTTCAAACTGTTGGCTGCAGTTGGTTTCTTGGTATGGAATGACTCCATTAGAAGGATGATGCATGCTGCCACCAAAGTTCATAGAAGATGCTGATTTTCTTTCTTATTTTGTCATCTCTTTATAGAATGTGGTTTTTGAGTTTGCTTTCAAACATGGTTTTCCCAATACCAGCTGCAGGGCTTCCAATTTTATACATGGAAGTAAATTTAACAAGAGTATGTCTTGGGAACTCTTCGTTACAACGCCTCACCCAAGAGTTGTGTCTGAGACGAGGATGATTATTTGGAAAACTGGAATCTTGACACCCAAAAATTACAAGAACTGTTGTAAACTTGAAAAAAAAAGTTCTTTGAGATGTTTTGGATGTGACCTATGAAGACCAACGCCAACGATAACTCTAAAAAATGCTTTAATGATTTGAACTCCTGGAATTTACCCATCTTTGAACCCTAGATAACTGGGAATATTGTAGTGCTGACTTGGTAGACTTGTGGTAGCTTTTAAAAGGTCTAGAAAACCATTACCAACATGCTGGAACCAGTTTTTTACAGGCCTATTTGATGAATCTTCTTATCGGTAGTGGTGTTTTAGATAGACTAATCTATACTCTGAAGTGAGCAAAACTTATGCTGCTAAGCAATGGTGAGTAGGCATACCATACCAGTCTGATCTGGTATATCCAAAAATTTTGTTTGCTTCCACTTTGCTTTTCTTTTTCCCTGGGTCCAAAATCAAACTTTTTATTGTAAACAGAAGTTTTCACAGTACAAACCAAAGCCAAAACCAAGTTGCATTAAATGCTATGGTTTTCATCTTATTCCTATACGAGATTATGTTTTACATATCCCTTGGAGGTGCACTGGAATATTAAATTTCCACTGAGGACAAATGTTCCCCTTAGTGATAGGACAGTTACCCAGTGTGCTGCATCATCGCATTCTCTCCTGGTTCTTCTAAAATAACTCTTGGGCACCTTTTCAGTTTGCTGCCATATCTCTTTGTATTTTTTTCTATCCCTCCATATTCTGTGCTAACTCTGGTTCTTCCTTTTGTAGGGAGTCTATAATAATCTTTCCATCAGACTCAACTATTACTAAAGCGTAACCTTGAGCTACTCCTACTACTCCTACATTGCATACTTGTTTTACAACCCATGCTTCTGTCAGTAAAGGAGAATTAGCTGCTCTAACTTTTGATTGCCCTCATTCAGTTCTCCAGTAGAGTCCTGATAACAATACCATGAGCTCCGTTGCCCTCCTTCCTCGCATAGGCTCCCTCACATTAATTTTGATTCAGTTAAGTGGGGTTATCATCTGGTTTTATTTGTAGGGTTTCTCTGTGGCTTCCCTGTATGGATCTTGTCACTTCTATGAATACCTTCTTCAGTTTCAGGGTACGTTGAATTAGATGTCTAGAAGTAGGCTGCATGTGTTAACATACCCATCCATCCCTTGCTATCCAGGGACGGAACCAGATTTGTTGCTGGGGGCCCAGACATTATGTAGAGCAACTCATATGAATAGAAGCAACTATATTTATCTTTTTATATTCAAATTTTGCTATGTTCAAAAATATATGACAAATAATTTACTATAAAAACAAAGATATCGACCAAACAAATGAACCAAATCAAAAGTTTTTAATACATATCCCCTCAGTGGTCTATCAAAATGGTACGTGACGATCTTTTGTCACAGAATTCATTTTTGATTTAAACTGTGTGAAACTTATTAGCAACTTTCATTTTTATGTGCACAATCAAATTCAACATCCTCTAGTTGCGAAGTCTTTGCCATCGCTGAACAAGAACGCCAGTAGAAATGAAGATTGTAAGCACACGTTTGACTAATTCAGGGACTTTATGCACTGAGACATTGGATTGATAGTTGACTTTCTTAATGCTAGGACCACTATAAATCCAAAGGTCATGATGCGTTAGGTCCACACATTAAGTCCACAAATTAGGTCCCATTAGCATTGCTTTTGTTTTGTTATTTTCCTATTACTAAGAGCTCTTGGCGAGTGTTGATAGATAGAATTTCGGTTGAGATCTCTTCTATTCTATGGGGATTTGGGTGGAAGTTAATAGCTATATCTTTTTATTTATTTCTCAGTTGGAGAATATTTTATGGAATGAGATCAAAATACATGTGATACTATGGGGATTTGGGTGGAACTTAATAGCTATGTCTTTTTATTTATTTCTCACTTGGAGAATATTTTATGGAATGAGATCAAAATACATGAGATCCTAATGTTAGTATTTTCGGAGGGTACCCAGTATTATTTTTTTCAGTAGTTGAGTATATCATAAACAGATGAGCAATGGTAATTGTGGGGAAGACAAATAGTCAAAACTATCTTTTGTTTTTTGGGGTGGGGGGTTTGGGACCATGGCCCTTTAAAAAGTTCTGTTTTTCCGGCCATCCATTCCTACCGAAGCAGGTAAGAATTAAAGGTTATCCTCTTCCTTCCTTCTTCTTTACTGAGCTGAGGGTGGGTGTTTTTGAAGCCATAGCTCAATTCTTGTGATTTCTTGTATGGTATGGGACATATCTGTGGAGGGAACTTCCAGCACGGGGTTTGTACATGAAAATAGAAAGATTAAGGGTCGTTTGATAATGTTTTTGTTTTCGCGTTTTCAAAAAAATAAAAATAGAGACAATTTTTGTCTTTGTTTTGCAGTAAACATTGAAATAGAAAACATGTTTGGAGTCGTTTGTGTCTATCAAATTATGTGAATATAAACAAAAAATATGTTTGGTAATTACTTCAAGTTTTATTCTAAATAGGCTTTATAATATCTTATACAACAAAATACAAATCCAAAAATTTCTTAACCCAAATTATGTACTAATTCATCAAAGAACACCTAAAGAAAGATAATTAGATTACATAAGTTTGAATTGTAATTGTAATTATTAGCTACCAACTTTGTTTGAAGCCTTTGACAAATATAAGTTGACAAGAATGAGGATTTTGTTAATTAACTAAAATCCCAATAACTATTAAAAATACCTCGATGGTACGAATGAGGATTTTATTAATTTTTTGAAAAAATTACACCTAATGGGGGGACATAAGAGCCTTACCCCTAAATGCATCTAAATGCATGATTGGAAAATTTTGAAAATGCATGTTACAATAAATTTCAAACATAAGAGATAAGTAGAACATCCCTGCTGGCTCATGTGTCTGGATAAGGCAGAATGCCTATCCAGTAGAGATAGTCCTGTGCAAAAACTGCAAGCTTCAAGGAGAGATGGCCCATCAATATTCAGCTTACGCAATCCTATTGAAGGCAGTTTCCGGCTAATCCACTTAACTTGCATAGAGATGGAAGTTGGTGAAACCATTGAGTCACTGAAGTATAGATGTTGCTTGAGCTGAGTCCATTGGTTTAACATTAAAAACCTGTAGCTTCCAATGATGCATTATTATCATAAAAACAAAATTAGGATGTAGCTTTTGACCTTCAAACCTCCTTAGCAATGATAGAAATATTTGTAAAAAACACCTCTTGAAGGAGATGAGGAACAATAATTTGTTAAAGTTCCCTCAACTGCCAAGCCCCATCCACAAACAACTTAGAAAGCCTTGGAAAAGCCATTGGTGAGCACACACACTCAGCACACTCTTTGAGGCACAAGACACACAAACCACATACACAGACTCAACACATAGAGACACTCACAGACACAACTCACACACTCACATACACAACACACTCAAACACATAGACACAGAACACACACAGAAACCACACACTCACAGACACTCATGCATAGACACAAAACAGACACACTCAGTCATAGTTGTCAAATTGTGTATTAGAAGGTGTATCGTTTTTTAAAAATAGTGTATCGTATCGTATCATATATCGTAAGATACAGTGTAATTTTAAATAATTAATAATAATATATATATGCTTTTGAAAAAAAATCATAGACTTATAAAAACACAACATTTCATTAATATTCCACTTACTATTCAAGTTACCAATATAATTTACTAATATTAAAAAAATAATGAAGGGTATCAAATTAAATTAATGATACTTATGTATACTTAAAAGTAAAAAGTTATAATTTAGTGAGGTATTAAATGTAATTATTCATACTTATAACAAACAAAATAAAAATATCCGCACAGTCGGTCATGAGTCTTGTGACCTACAAATGAACAGAGATAGGGACAGAGAGAAGAGGCGAGAGGCGAGAGGCGAGAGGCAATGCAAGTGCTGGAGAGAGAAAGAAAGAAGAAGAAGAGGAACATACTTGGTGGCTGGTACCTTGTGATTGCAGCTCACAGCGACGAAGAGACATATCGTGAGACAAAGAGAGAGAGAGATTGTGAGACTAACAGGTTAGTGTCAAAAATCAACCTAGGGTTTCATCCGAAATTTACAGGTTAGTGTTGCTATTTTTTTCAATTTCAAAAATTTGTTTGATTTGTTTTTACTTGGGTGTTTTTGTTGATTTGTGGGTTTGGTAGACTGGTAATTCTTGTCTTCATTTCTTGCCTTTTCTTTGGCATTTTCTCTCAGAACTGTCAACAATTTGGTGCGATCTAATCAAAAAAAAAAAATTTAAACAGAGACTTTGCAAATTGTTTGTATCGACTGATACAAATCGTATCATAAAAACGTATTGTGTATCGGACGCAAAAACAATACCAAACTCTGATTTGTATCGTTTTACCTATGTATCATGCGATATGTATCACGTATCGTACGATACTAATAACTATACACTCAATTACATACTCAACACACACAGACATACTAACACAAAAAATTTTCAATTTTCCATTACAGCCAAGCTATTTTCTTTTGCGAACGCTAATAAACACAACAACTACCTTGTGGTAACATGTTCTCATAGATTGGGCAACCTACCTAGTGTGTTCCACCATAAAATTTCACACCATACACTTCTAAAATTTTCAACAACATGAACATGTTAACAACATTAAAAATAGTAAATAATCCCAGAATTTCAAGTCCCTAATTCATTAAAAAAAAAGCAATATAGAAGAAGAGTAAACAGCCCCAGAATTTGATATTGGCTCTTTTGCTTGGAGAAAAAGAGCATAAAATCCTATCATAACAATATCCACATGCAGTACCCACAAATTGACACATACACAGACAAGTATAGCCACAAATCTATACACATAAGCACACACATACNGTGATACTATGGGGATTTGGGTGGAACTTAATAGCTATGTCTTTTTATTTATTTCTCACTTGGAGAATATTTTATGGAATGAGATCAAAATACAAGAGATC